CTATATATATATATATATATATATATATATATATATAAATGCTAATAATTTATTGAGGAAAGAAATTTTATTTATCTTTATTATAGATATATAAGAGAGTACTTAAAATTACGTACTTCTTGTTAGGTAATTTAAAACCAAGAATATAGAAACTATGGTTGATAATTTTTATAAAAAATAAGAATTTTTTTAGTTCATAACAAGAAATATATGTTATTTTAATACAAAAAGAGAATTGGTGTAAATGAAATAATCGTGAGGGTCAACGAGATCATTAATAAAGAAGATTATCAAAGTTTTCTAGACAAGTAGACAAATAAGATCAATAAGAATATGAAAGAAAAGATGATCCATTGAGATCCAATAAGAATAAATAATGAATTAAACATATAATATGCAAGCTTAACAAAAAATTGTTTAAGCACTTGAATAGAATCTTGTGGTGTTGTGGAATTTTAATGAAAGATACATAAGTCAAACAATTGATGAAAATATTTAAATTCTTTTTTTTTTTGCTCAAGTAAAATAAGATGTTAAGATTAAAAGTTTATGGAACATGACATTTATAAGAGACATTACTAAGTACATCTAGTAGAAAAAATTTATTGATTAATCACAAAACCATGAAACACGTCATAAATTATAAGAACAATAGATTGATTGTCAAACAATAGTAAAATATTTTATGTAGAAGCAAAAAAATAGATAACAATAGTCAACAAAAACAATTAGAACAACATAACCAAATAACAATAGTAAATATAAACATAAATTGATAAAAATATCCAACAAAAATATATAACAATAGCAAACACATGATCTTAACGTTGAATTGTTGAAGCACAAAAACAGTCAAGCATATAGAGATAACAATAGCCAATATCATTGGACCTTGTTGGAGATAAAAAAAAAATTAAAGAGACAATAAACAATAGTATATAATGAATGATCAATTAAATTTTTTTTATTTTCTTCTCCAATGTAATTAGTTGATATGTTTTTGGATCCTTGTTATCTATTAAATTCTTTTTACCTCTTATGATATACGATAATTTTTTTAGTTTTCTTTAATTTATTAAATTCTTTTAGATTACTATTGTATTTTAACGAAAAAATTTGGGCCCCTGGTATTTTTGGGCCGTGTGTCCTTGCCGTCCTCCCCAGGGACGGCCCTGAATACAGAGACTCTTTTCATGACCTTATATTTTTTTACTCTACGACGATGAACAATACGTTGGCACGGTATACTCTGCATTAGGTTCGTCGCTGTCTCCACCCTTGATATATCAAAATTGAAGATCAACACCAAGCGCAGTTCATGAGACGAGGATAAGATGAAAAACAATAAGGATCCGAGGGTTGTTAATTTACTATAAGAAACGCTGCTTCATCAACTTGTAATAGTCCAAATCATTACTAGATATGTTACGACAATTATGTATAAACAGAGCAAAGAGAAAATCATGGTGTACAGGCAATCGATTCGATTCGATTCAAAGCAGTTGATACCAATAACAACATACTGATCCAAAACTACCTATAAACAATTAAGGTCGACATGTAAAAGCAAACAAGTAGGAAATTTTTTTAGAGAAACTATTATTAGATGATAAAGAACCCAACTAAAGAATCAGAGCGTCATATTCAAAATTTACCCTATGCTATTTCTTTTCAATCCATATGAAAAACATACCTTCAATTTGCAGAGATCTAGATCTAAAATGTAATGATGATGATGTCTTCAAATTCAATAAAAATCTCTACAGGAATTCCCCTCTGGCGGCATAACCTAACTGCGCTCGCTGTATATTCTGTTTCCGTTTCCTGTACAACATTCCTCCGAATCCAACAGCACAAGCCGCGGCGATCACTCCGATCGCAATTCCTGCCTTCTTCCCGCCGCTCATCCCTCCAGACGAAGAATTCTTCGGTTTCTCGCTCTCTACATTAGCGGAGGTGGTATCGCTAACCTCTTCCTGTGACGGAGCCGGAGAAGTGTCCAATGACGTCGTGGAAGCGGGAGTAGGAGGCAGATCTGCAGGTGGAGACGTGTTGATTGAAGGTGAAGGTGAAGGTGAAGGCGAGGGAATTGACGGTGATTCATCGGAACCGGTTACTGGGGCAGGACTGGGTGAAGAAGTTTCCTGCGCATTTGAAGATGAGAAAAGAAGCGCGAAAGCGATGAAAACGTGAAGAAGCTTATTGGACGCCATTGTTGATGAGGATTTCTTGAAGATTTTTGGGTTTAAGAAAGGTTTTCGTCGAAGTAAAAAGGAAGCAAGTGGATTTTTGTTGAAAGAAGGGAGAAGAAGACAGATCTGATCCGACGTGGGGGCAACTTCTTTGAGAAAGATATGGGGTGGTTCCAACATACTATAAATTGTTAGCATTTATTTTCTATTATTAAATTCAGAAAAATATGATATTTTTTAGTTTTTCTAATTCATATCCTTCCAAAATAAAAATAATAAAAAATGGCACATTAAAATGAAAATTATCGTTTCTATCAGTATCAAATGAAGTATGGTTATTGATAACGTATTAATAATACAATATATTTATCACGGAAAAAAATGAAATTTAATGGATTAAGTAAATTAGGCGGCCAGATACATGATACATAAATAGCAAACACCGAAATCTTACCCGATTACCCGTTATCGGGATGTAAATTTGATGGACAAGAATCTTATGCAGTAAGGTAAAAGAGGACGGTGTGTAAGCACTAGCCAATTGGTAAAGGGTCCTTGCATTTCATAAAAGTCGGATTTAAAAGAGCAAACCATGGCTCACCGTAGCCAGCAGTTCATGACGATGTCCATTCGTATACACGTAAACAATCTAGAATGCTGTCCATGTTGCCTCCTATTCTATCTTCAACCTTCAGTTTCGTATATAAAAATGGTATCTCAACGTATACATAAATACTCTTTATAAGAACTACAGGTAGAAACTATTGTCAGAGTTCATCTTTTTTGTCAATGTTGCTATCTTTGCTGCTTTGTTTGGCATCAGTGTAAGTTGGTTTCTGGAGCTTAAAGGGGATCGAAGCATGTTTCTTAAGGAATTTGTAGAATGCCACTACTGTTCGATCAACATCTACAGATATCTGCAATACCAACGAAAAACCATCCATTATAGATACCCCATATGAAGCATTTCAACATTTCAGGTAGTGATGACATTAAATTTCATTACAGTTTTTGGAATAGAAATGAATTATCCTTTTGGTCCTCCTCGAAAAATACCTTCCTTATTTTAAGGTAAAATGGCTTTTCCCACCCTTAATTCGAGGACATGAGTTCGTATCTAATAGCTCAAGCATAAGTTATCTCTAAAAATATCACTTACAGGATCAGAGCTTTTGTTTCCAGCGGGGTAGAAGAGAAGTGTTGGGTACCCATCCGCCTGTAAAAGGCAAAACCAAATTCACAAATCACGTCTGATGCTACTAAGCAAGTTAAGATATCAATCAAAATCCAAACGATTAATTTTGAGCAAAACCAATGCTTTTAAATGGCAACTGTACCTTTGCCTTGGGATGTTCATTTGTACTTCCATCCATCTTTGCTATTACCAAGGAATCAATATCGCGCAAATGCTTAGCAAGCTTGCTGTAAGTTGGTTCTAGAGCTTGGCAATGCCCGCACCATGGTGCATAAATCTGCATATAAAACATTCGGTTGTTTAACCATCTCTAACTCCCACCAACAATCAATCAAAGCAAACACCATCTACATTCGTTTCTATAAGTACCTCTAGTAGAACATCTTTCGACTCATCCAAGACCATATCATCAAAGTTATTCCCAACTACTATCTTCACGTCACCGTCATTCTGCTTCGGTACAATTGCCCAAAATAAGTTACCTCACTGTAAGAAAGATAATATACAAATCAGAATCCCCTAACTAAGAACTTACATGCTCAGGAATTGGATCAGATTTGTAGAAAGCTTTAAGCTTGTCGTCCAAAAATTTCTCCCCAAAAGCCTGGCAAATAGAGAAAAGACATCAAGAGACACCCAATCAGATTTCTGCATTATTAATTGAAGACCACTGCTAAGCTCTATGGTTCTGTTGAACAGTGGCCAACTAATAATACCTTAAGGTTTTCAACTGTCAGATCTCCATCAAATACAAATTTCTTAGCATCATCGTTTCCGGTGTATCCAATAACCTGATTAAGACATTCAGTATATACTTATTGTTTGCACTCGATCTTGCAAGAAGTTGAAAAGGAAAAAGAGAACGATATAATTGGTAACCCAAGTACAAGTAAAATAGAGAATAGATGCTTAGTGGAAACACGCATTACCTGTGGAGCATCTCCCGTGATACTAAAATAATCTCCAACAGGCTTTCCAACATCCTCATTGTCCATATCAACATACACAAAGATAAGCTGTCCAGAAATGACGTCAAGTGGATTATCAAAATCTCCCTCAAAGATATTATTTGGGTATTATTTCGATTACTACGGAATTGTGATTCCAAATACCTTCCCCTTAAATAACTTTGCAGCATCCACAAATGTCTGGGCAACCTTAGTTGAACCCATTGACGTAGCAAATAGCATCACCTGAGAGCATAAAGAACGGTTTATACCATTACGGTGAACTCTCAAATATTCCACATGAAGAGACATGCTTGTATCGTTCTTTAATCGCCAGTTATGATAACCTATGCATATTACTATATTTACCTGTTTCTTTATTGGGCTTTCGAAAATCAAAGATGCACTTTCTCTGGAAAAAGTTGTCACCAAGGGAAGTTTATTTGCAAAAACAAACTCCTTAATTGCAGACTTGTCGAATAGACCATCTGTATGAAAAAGAACAAAGGAAAACACTGAAAGATAAGTCCACTGCCTTTCATCAACATGATACAATGATGTTCAGAAACAGATGAAGAAACTGACCATGATGGGTCACTTTCTCAGCATCCTTCTTCAGCAAGACTAAAGCTGGGAGTTTTACATCAGGATCAATTTGGAAAAGCTTGGCAACATTAGGATCTATGGTTTGATAAAAGTTGACATCATCATCAAGCTTGGAAGCTGCAGCAAGTTCCTCGTTTTCAGGACCCTGAAAACAGAACAACTCAGAACAAATTAAAAATATTTTGATTTTTTAGGGTCAAAGGCTTTGAGGCTGGCATTTCAAATTCAAATTGACATGGAAGTTCAAAATTCATTACGGACGTATTGCACTTTGTAGTAAATGTTTACGAGAATTGTCAAATTTTACTTAAATATGAAATTGTTTTATATCACTTGGGTAAGATTTCTAAGCAAATGGAAATGGTGCAAGAGATAAGGCCGTAATCAGTTAGACGGTGCAAGTAGATACCACCAAAGAGCTGACGAAGGCCAAAACAACTTTGTCCTCAGATGCAAGTATTTTCTCTGCATCTTCTACAGTCGTTATGTTGTATACCCCAGGTCCTGTCTTCTTCTTGATCCAATTTACTATAGCATCTCTGTGTTGTAAAACACCACAAAAGCAAATCAATTTCACTGATTTCATACTTCTTATAATTTCTACACATAAAATCATTATTTAAGCTGTTTTGATTGGCCTTGCTACCCTTCTCTTAAAAGATTGAAAAGCTATGCTAATGGTATAGGCAATTTGAGCAGAAGTATTTCTACTAAAAGACTGAAATTCGGTTTATATCCTATCTTTGCGACTTCACTGACTATAACTCCTATTATATGTATCAAAATTCGAAGTTCAGTAATTCTAAACTGCAATGTATATGGAATATCAAACACACACACACTGAGATTAAGAGACTAACTTGGTGCGTTGCCCAAGGTAAGGCTTGTGAACACCGTCGACAAAAAAGAGAACAGTAGGAAACCCTTGGACCTCGTACGTCTCAGCAAGGTCACTCTCCTCTTGTGCATCAACCTTAGCAAGCACCACCGGCTCTCCTTTCAGCTCCGTGGCTGCGGCGGCGTACTCTGGAGCAAGAGCCTTACAATGACCACACCAAGGAGCGTAGAACTCCACCATCACGTAACGATTACTCTCCACAATGTCAGTAAAGTTGCTTTCAACCAAAACAACAACATCCTTATCATCAATTGAGTTCGTGTGCTCCTCTTCCTCATTGTAATCATGAGCAGGCACTTCGAATTCGTCGTCGTTGTAGTTGAAGTTGTCGAAATCGTCTTCGTCTTCGTCTCCGGCGAATTCATCAAAATCGGGAAGATCCTGATCGTAAGTATCGTGTGTCGATGGAGTTCCATCTTCCGGTTCTTCAAGGAAGCTAAGGTCTTCGTCGTCATCGTCACCGGAGCTGGGATTAGTTTCTTTAGAGAGAGAAAGAGAGGTGAAATGAGATAAGATGAGGAATGTGGAGAAACAAAGGATGATGACTAACTGATTCGCCATTGTTGACTTGAGCAACTCAATGGATCCACAAAATTTAGATCCAGGAAGGGGTTTAAGGGGTATGAAGGAGAAGACGAAGATGAAAACGACGCCGTATACATGTACAATTTTATGGTTTTTGCAATATGGCCCTTGAACTTTACGTATACCTCTATTCAACTCCCAAGAAGAATGTTGTAAATATGAAATAAACCAAAAACATGAGGGGGGTTAAATGAAACTCTTTTTTCTCGTCGAGAAACCAAAAGCGATTTACCCCTTTCATCTATGGCGTCTACCCAATTCCGAATGTGGTTCTTCGTTAATTGAGAAGCAAACGTTCTTCATTCCGCTTTCATCAAAGGTTCGATTACACCGACGCGAAAGCAGCCATGATTAGCATCCTTGCGCAAGTGAGATTCAATTTTAAGTTCCTATATATTTATATAGATTTAGGTATTTCTGTAGGCACCCGCTGAAATTATTGTGTTTTTTGTGTGTGGGATTACTGCAGGAGCGTTTACTTGGCGCTGCCCTAGGAAGTATATTCGCCGGAGTTGTTATTTTTGAGCAACGGAGGGACATCTACTATACGATCGCGCAGAATCAACCTTCTAAATCTCAGGTCACCTCACATGGTTCTCCTTTGAATTAGTTCTAATTTTTTTTCGCTTAATCAATCATCACACCCGAGATAGTTTGTTGGGATCGTTTGATGCGATTTCTTTACATTGCAGTCTTGGTATCATAGTATACGTGCCTATTAATGATTACCAGATTAATTAGAGTGCTTTGTATAATTCGGATGAATGATGGTTTTGCTAGGTAGTTTTGATCTTTCTTGATGATATTAACCAATACATTAATAAAGACGCTTGTCTAATTGATAAATTAAAGAATTGTTGCCAGTAGTTGGTTGTCTAGAACAACCATATGCTAAAGTGGTGAGGTTTGAGAACTTATCCTCTAAAGTTCTCTCATCTTGGTCCCAGAGATTTCAATATTCCATTTCTCGTCGACCGCCATTCGTCCTGCAGTCCAATGCGATTCCATTTTTGGCTGGATATCGAGATTTATGCAACTATTGGTTGAAACGAAATAAATTTGTAAAGTTTTGGTGTTTCCAAAATGCTATGTTAGAATGGAAGATGGGGCCCCAATTCTTTGTCAATCTGGTAAATTTGGTTTTAATCCTTCTAAGTTTTAAATTTCCCTTTAAACTCAACAGTTGATGGTTGCGAACTTGCAGAACAATGTGCAGATATAGTTTTGCTTTATGAACGTTTTAGAGTTTTTGTACAAGGAAGAGACCCTAGCATTAACTAACTGCCATCTCCATACTAGAATGTGGACCTATCCTAAAAGTGTTCCAAACATGAACAAAAAGTTGTTAAACTAATCTTGCACCAGATAATTGAGCTCTATGTCTGGTTAGTAAACTCCATGTCTCTTCATGCCAAGCATTATATTGCTGCTCGTGCCGAACGTTCTGCTCCACCACAATGATCTAATCAACTTTCAGACTTTTCATGTATTTGAATTCAGTTATTTTCCATCTGCGCTCTGTAAGAAAAACAAGTTACAACTGCATTGTTAACCAATTGAAACCTTGGACTTTTGACGGATTTTATTGGTCCACCTATATGATATATCTGACTGTAAAGTTATTGAGAGTTGGACCTGCCATTAGCTTCTATCTGCAGCACCTGAATAGAAAATTCACTCTCCTTCCCATACCTGTTTGAAGCTATGGCGAATAGATCTGGATAATTGATTATGGGAGATACTAGCATTCCTAATATCATACCAGGATGTACTTTGTTCTCCATTCCCACATTTGTATTTTCAACAAATTGTGTCTCTATGCAACTACCATAAAGTCTTGTCTTTGAAGAGCCGAAATGCCATTCTATTCTTAAGAGAACTTTGGGCTTTTTTGGGTATTGGTATTGTAGATCATAGCAAAATTTTCCAGTATGACTTTGATGGGAACCTTTCACAAAATTTTGCTTCTTATCGTTGAACCAGCGCTTCCTGGATCTGTGCGACGTTAGCTTGATGTGCCCTTGCATCTTTACCTATCATGGAACCTCTGGATTTCTTTCCTATTCTGGGTGTTTCATGATAGGATCTGCATCAATTATGGCTTCTCCTCTTGCTTTTCATACTCAACCATATCACGAATAAAGTCTTCGAACAAATTATCTTTGAATCTGTTTTGGTACCATTAAATCCCTCGAGTTCCCCAGCTGATAATGTGGTTCTGATATGTTTTCTTTGAACACTCGGCGAGAACCACTGAATCTAGATGAAGTTGGATACTTGGCTCACCTTTCTTCTTCTTTCGTCCTTCTTTTACTCCAGAGTCCAGAAAGATCATTGCCACTACCTTCATTTTAAGTGTTATTGACAAAATAACCCAGAGTAGATGGAGAAATTATATGTTACTAAAGCCATAGGTTACCGATTCAAATGTGCAAGTGTGACCATAGAAGAGATGGTTAGAACAGCTCAAAGCCATAGTCTACAAGACTATAACATACTGACACTTATCATAGGTCGAAGTGACAGACATTGTGTTATAGACACAACATGTCTAAGAAGTGTTGGTGTTTTTTTCCAACTTCCGATAGGAAATTTATATTCTAGAAATAGCTCAAGTGTTGATATCTATAACTGGGATGAGAAAAGAACTTATCCTTTGTTATCAATTCAACTTAGCCACTTTCATGTAACCGTTTATAGGCCTATTTCCTTTGTTGTTTTGAAGAACTTCAATTTTTAAATCTTTTTTAAGTGAAATGGCTAATGTTGATTATATACAGTTGTACCTTACATATTTTTTTGCTTTGGAGAATATAATGTTATATGGTGATAATCTTGAATTCTCAATTCATAAATCGAATTTACGTGTATATTTGTATATTTGCCATGTTGGGACCTATTGAGATTTACTGTCATGTCAAAGGTTGACTGTCCTTGCTTCACCGGTCGTAATGAAGCAGTTTCTGTTGTTTCTCCTCTTGTTCTTGTAATAGCAGAAAGAACCAGAGGTTGCTGAGATGTGTGATGCTAATAAAATGGCTTATTGCTCATATGTGTTCTACATGGACAACTTAGGGATTATCATTTATTACAGCTGCTTCTCTAGGTTTCTCTTGTTTATATACTTGATTATATTGTATTCTGATCAAGATTATGTTTGCATTCTATTTTCTGTTATTGACATAATTTAGCTTTCGAGGTGGTATGGTTGATAATGTCTAGCCCATTACCCTGATTGTTTATCGTATATGAGCATCAGATAGTTTATGCTACTATGCTTAAAAGCATGTCCCTCTAAATAATGATATAGTCTGGTTAGAAAGAGAGAATTATCTTCAAGTAGCTGACAACTGAACTAGCTTAAAACTTTGTAGGGTCATGTCATGAACCTTAGATAGAAACATGAAAGATGCAAGTCCCTGCTTACATTCTAAACTTTYCTTTTTCCTAACAACCAAAGTCCAAACCATATGATTGTTGGGGTTTACATCATTGTTTCCCTTTGTTCTCATTTGTGATGGTGTCTTCACTGGTTTATGCTTTGGCATACATGTCACAGTTGTGGATTCCTGCCTAGATGAGCTTGAAATGTGTTCATGAACATAAGAAACACATGGCTATTGGGAAAAGTGGAATGTAAAGCATTCTCAGCTACTGCTATTAAGTTGTTTTACTTATTAATGCTGAAGCTTTTATGTTGAACTCAGATGAAAGAGCCCATTCATAGAAAGAAATTCGAGTTTGCACACTATTGGAACAAATCAGTGGATCAGATTTTTGGACCAGCTATTGAGGCTGTTAGCTCGCGGCGGTGAAAGAGGTGCAATACTAGCTATGTAACCAAGCTATGGAGATGTTCTGCTTCATCTTGTTTAATCTATACATGCAATGGTTGCATTGTCAAAACAACTACTAATTGCTCATGTTTCTATTATAACTTGATCCAGTGGAGGCTCTTGATGCAAATTTGGCCATCTTGTTTCTCTTTTGTTGAGAATTCAACTTGAATATTTTGTTCTCTAATCATGGGTCAAATAAAGTCAAGACTTTGAAAGAAGAATTCATATCAATGTTTAACCTTGGGATTATTTATGTTGGCTTAAATAGTCAAAAACAGAAAATGTATCTAATACTTTGAAAGAAGAATGCATATCAATGTTTAACCTCATATAGATCTAATCCCCTCGGTTTGAAAGGGCACCAAGGGGCTGTTTGGTTGGTTGTTCATTAAGTTGTGTATGAATAAAGTTGTCTACATGGATTAATTTGTCTGTATAGGTTGGGAAGGTTTTTGTTTAAGAGAGTTTTGCTTTCTACATAAAGCTCCCTCCTAAAAGCTTACTGAATAAATCACTTTTTATATCTTTTAGCCACTGCCAATTAGTCATGTATAATTGACCGAATAAACCGTGAATCAGATTAAGTTCATTAAGCTGTTAACAAACGACCCTAAGTTAGTACTGCATCTTATGACTTCCCATGACATGATCCTTCACTGTTATTCTCTCTGTGATCATAAACTTGCTTTTACTTTTAGGATTAATCATTGAGATCCATAATTACATGCATTAATCACTGAATCGTATTTGCATACTTCTCATATTCTAGATTTGAGGAAGATATTAAATAGCCCAAAACTTGGCTAGAAGCTCATACATCAAGCTGCTGCTGGTATAACTGTATTATTCCGACTCAAATTGGCCCGGCGGGTGGTCGCCACATAGTAGACACCCATGGCTAGGAGAAGTGCAAATACAAAACCAAAAATTATTGCAGCAATGCCTCCAGCACCAACTTTACCCCCACCCTTGTTATTTTCTGCTCTGCTTTCATGTGCTAAGCTCGACTGAACTGTAGCTGCTAGAGGCAAAGGTGAGCTCGGTTGCGTATTTGGGTGGAAGAAATCATAAGCCGATGGTGAGAAAGCCACCAGTTTCTCGTGAGCGAGCCCATGAGGAGCTCGCCCTTGAGCTCTTGAATGAGTAGTGATGAGCAACATAAGAACAAGTAGAAGTGAAGGCCTTGGTGTCATTCTGAATTTGCTTAATAATTGGTGTCACTCAAGAATTCTTGGTATTCTGATGTGGGGATTTGGGGTGGTATATATAGTGGTTCTTCCGGTTTTGTGCATGGCCCTCAATTTTTGTGAAAAAAGTTTAGAAGGGTGAATGGGGGGAACATAATGATGACTCTGAGCTCTTCTATGGTATCTCATGATGGCAAAATGACCATAATACCCATGTATATTTCTAATGTATCTCTCAGTTTGGTAAATATACTTGACTCCCATTTAGCTTTTCAGATAGGAGAAATTACTGATACACCCCTCAATTGCTTACAGAGGGTTAGTAGAAATAGTGGGATTGCAACTTTTTAACAAAGATGCAATGTAATGTAATGACCCCCAGGGGCATAATGGTCATAAGGAAATATGCATATAGAAAAAGTGTAATTATAGAGGTTTGCCATGGGTATCATTGGAGTGAGAAACGCATGGTGTAGCTGAAATCAATGTTCCTCTCTTTTAGCCCCATTCCAACATCATTTGGTTATGCTCCATTCCCTTTCATTCCTTCTAATGCTCATATAATATTATTCGAAATCATTGAGACCTTTGTGGCCGTGCCAACTTCCCTCTTATAGGGAGGGATGTTGCCGATTCTAGGACTGTGTGGCGGTGGGCTTAGACCACACGGATCAGTAACGTCTTTGACTTGTTAGTCCATTTTAATTGGAAGAACCAAGTAGATGTTGAGGTATTCGCTTGTTGATTTCCCATTTTAAAATTGTGTGATGATTACATTTTCTCTTTTCCAATTCTTTTGAGTCTTTGTAATACTTCAAGTTTTAACAAATCCACAAGATTTGTTTGATGACATTTAGTTTTTTGCTTTGTTTGTTTTAACCTAAGAATTGTTCTGATTTCTATTTGGTAACCTAGATGGCTAGAATCAACAAAAAACAAAAGCCAGGGGCTGTTAAGCAATGCCCTTGAAAATTCAGGGGCTGAATCTTCATAAATCAAAGACTTGGACCTTCTTTGCCATTTGTTGGAAGATTTGTATAGAGTATTGAACATAGGTTGTTTAATAGAACATCAATGCACGAAAAGGCTGTCATTTGTTGTCAAATGAAGTTATAGATAGAAATAAGCTAACAAGAATGTAAAAAAATTTAATAAATATAATATATTGATTAAAAGTTTCAAATCGATCATTATATATATTATAATATTTTGATTTGTTAAAACAAATTTTAGAATTATTTATGATTTTAAATAACCATTACATATAA